ATTATACATGTGTGAATATAATATTAAATTTATTAATCATATAATGAACATATCACATTTTCAAAGTTTGGTCATTACTAAAAGTAGAATAGTATACATATAAATTAAGTATTCAAGTATATATGAATCACTATATTAATTGAAAATAATTTGTTGATAATATAATTTTTATAATTTTTTAGGGATCATGGTCAATTAATTTAGTTGAAAATATATTAAAATTATTAAATTATTATTATTATTATTATTATCACCATCATAGCAATAATTTTTTATAAGAATTTAATGTAGTTTGACTATGTTATTAAAACTAATTAGCTATTTTTTTTAAATAAAACAGTCTCATGATTAATAAGATGAAAAAGTGAATATTGATATTAGAATAAAGAGCTTGAAAAAAAATTGCAATAGATCTTTTTATAGTTATGTAATTTCTATATATCATTTAGTGTTAATTATTATTAGTTGGCATTCGTATTAAATATTATATAATATAATAATAGTCAAAAATATATAATTACGCTTAGCTAAAATAATTGTAAAAATATGCTACCATAAGTAGCTAAAAAATGGGTGAGAAACGTTAATAATATGGTGAGTTAATGTAAAAGGAAAAAAATTTTAATGATGCATGTTTGTAACCAAAAATGGAGAGAAAACCAATATTTTTAGTAAAAAATTTTCTGACAACTAGCGTTGATACCCGCGCGATGCACGGAGCATACCACAAAAAATATTGTATTATTTATTTGTTATTAAACAATTTAAGAGAATATGCAATTCTATTCAACACAATATTCAATTCACTAATAATATGAAATTTATTTATTTACCATTATTATTTGTTTCTATTTTTCTAAATTTTTTGTAGGTCTTGACTATTTGATATATAAATTTTTTTATTCAAAAGTTTATAAAATATTCCAAATGTATAAGATCTTATGATATTTGCATAAAAGTAAATACATGTACTCATAAAATTTTCAATTATCAGTCTTTAACTTTTTTAACAATTCATAATTTGCACATGCTCTCTAATTGTCCAACATTTAACTCATAATATTTATATTCATTTATTATAGTTCTAAGTTCATGAATTGTTAAAATATTTGATAATTAATTAATTTTTAGTAACTTTAATCCTTATGCAATAAAATTTTTTCATGGTTAATATTTTATTTTTATTTTTATTTTTTTATATTATTTTTTTCATTTATTTTTTTAACTAATTAATGAGTAATTAGTATCCATTCAAATATTTAAATATATTACATAATTCCATGATTACCAAGTGCTATAATTTAAATTATGATACTTTATTATTTTATTTACTTATTTTCATTTATAAAGTAGTATACAATAAAAGTTATACTTTTATAAAAACTTGAGTAGTTTTTAATGTATATAGATCTTTCAAAGGTGAAATTTATAATTTTAAATTATACTCGACCATCAAATATTAGTTTTATTAATCTATTATTTTAATTTTCTATAATATTTTCATTACAAATGATATATCAATGGATTGCCTTTTTATGGTTAAATTGACTACATTTAGTAAATTTTATTAATAGTGAAATTATTCATTAAGTTATATGATTCAAACATAGTTATTCTGATTATTTTATTGTATATTTTAAGTATTTCTGAAGGGTGAATATAATTAACTAAATTAATGTCTACAACCATAGATGATAATATATTTAATCAAATGTCTACAACCATAAATGATAATATGTTTAATCAAATCATATTTCATAAGATATTTTTAATTTTGTCAATAAATTACAATAAAAATCCTATTAAGATCTTATTTAAAATATATCTAATTAATGGTCGAAATAAATCTATTCAAGTCAATTTATAGTTAATGAATATTTACCATTGAGTACACAAGAAATAATTAATCTTTTTTTCATATATAAGATTCGGTATCAATTAAATGTCAAATATAGACAAAAAAAATTCCGCCCAAATTTATGCCAAATATGGTAATAAGAATTAGTCGATTATATAGATATAGATGAAATCGCAATAGGATATACAGGAAGTTTAAGCTAAAATGCATATATCCACTTAGAGAAATAAACACAATATTTTCAATACAAACCATCTTCGTACATCTA